TCGCACCATCACGATCGCTTCAACCGAAGCCACCTGTTCGGTTATGAAATCGTTAATCAAAACGAAAGCTATTTAACGGCAATTTGAGCGATTAAGCGAGCCATGTGAGGAGCTTATAAGACGGAGATGTTTGAACATAAATAGCATACACTCCCGCACAATTATCTCCTGATATCGAATCTTCCTGCCGTATTCAATTTTAAAACGTAAGACCGTGTGGGCTGCAGTAACATAATGTAATGGTAGAAGTGCTTCGCTTGTGCAACTAAAGGAAAATGAGGAGTTCTACTTTGTACTGAGGATGCTAGTCAGAAATGCCATTTAAACTATTTTTAAAGTATGGAAAAATAGTAGACACACTTCTTAATTTTGGAGGGTTGTATGTAGCAAAATAGGAAACTACCGTGTATGGTGGCTAAACTTTCTTATAATGATAGTCTCATACGGAACTGACAGAATCGGGGATATGTGGCATGCGACAAGTTGTATTTTCGGGTAATTTGTGTTATTTATACCTTATTTTGAGTTTTCTCAACCTAATTAAATATTCCACTGAATTTTTGTTTTCGTAACTCTCTCTCTCTAGTCTCCACGAGTCATATCATCTCGGAACGAGCAACTATCAACTAACCAATCCCATTAACAAAAAGAATACAGCTAGAAATCCCTGCGACACGCTGGTAAAGATAAGAATTCGTGTTCTCTCCGAAACACAGGAAGATCTGTCTGAAACAGGACCGGCAAAGAGCTTCACAACAGCAGAAAGAATGAAGGGCAGAGCTGTCGCAAATCCAGTCGACTGCACATCGAGATGCAAGATCTGCAAGCAAAGTAGGGATTTTTGACAGATTTTGAGAAACTTCTAGTTATGATTAGCCTCCCAAATACCTTGTTAACATAAACTGGGCCATAGTAAAATATGGCAAAAAAGCCCAGATTCGCTCCTGTTATCGAAGACCAAATACCAAGGATGCATGGATCTCGAATAATGTATGAGTACG